CAATGTAGCTTTCATTTCAAAGTTGGCACGTGCGCTCACGTTACAGAGCATGCCATAGTCCAAATTAGCGCGTTGACTTGCGAGTCCACCTGTTTGCAAATAAGGAATGGTTTATCTTGCACTCCTAATTCTACTGTAGGTGAGCGGACGCTGGCAGGATCGAGTTCCGAAAATGGTGTTTCCGAGCATTTTGCTTGAATTGTCTCGATTGCTTCTAACATGCTGAAGAATTTCCGGTAGTCCGTGGAGGAAAATTTTGGTAGTTCTGGTAGGGTACATGGTCGCTGGCTAGTTCGCTGACCTGGGCAATTTGATTGCAAACGTTTCATCACCAATCGAGGTAATATCATAAGTGCGTTGTCGGGTTAGCGTAGTAGTGTGTAGCGTTGGGTTAGTGATTGTGTCTGCTATGCTGCTCGTCATTCATTTATTCACATTTTCCGGGTACATTGTGTCAACAGCAGTTGTCCCAATCATTCGTAAGCGCATAAGAAACAAACGGGTAGAGGTTGGCGGTAGCCTGTCTTCTCGAATGTTCATCAGTGAACGGAGCGGAGGGATGTTGCTCCGTTTATATTTGACATTTGTGCAAGCATTTCAAATCCCTGTGGATTGATTTAGAAGTTATTGTTCAATAGGTCGACCGTGAAATAATCCCTTGTCACTGTAACCGCTACATGGGAAACTCTGCCTGTGTCAGCGCGTGCAACTCATGGCTGACGCGTCATAATTTATGACAAGCATATGCTCCATACAAACCAGCCAAAAGCTCCACCCCCCAAAAACCCATTGGGAAGAAATAAGTTTGAGATAAAATACGCTTCTCGGCATCAATATGGGTCCTCGGCGAGGTAGACAAACGGAAGAATGTATGGTGTTATAGAAGGGCACGTAGGATGGTTCCGAGTATGTGGAAGAACATTCGTCTTTCTTAGTGTTTGCGTAGGCATTGCGCACGTCTGGTAGAGCTATTATTGACTTGTGGGAAAGGAACTAAAGGTACACTGCCTATGGTTGTCTTTATTGCGTA